ATCAGCATAATGTCATCAATATAATGGACCAGTGTGATGTCTTGTGGAAGGGAAAGGCAATCAAGATCCCTACGGACTAAATTATGACATAGTGCTGGGAAGTTGATATACCCCTGAGGAAGGACTGAGAAAGTATACCGTTGGCCTTGCCAGCTGAAGGCAAACTGCTTCTGATGGTCTTTTGAAATTGGTATCAAGAAAAAGGCATTGGCCAGATCAAGTACCAGGAGATGTACTAATTTACTCAAGCAATGAAACCACATCAGGAACAGCAGGTGCAATTGGAGTCATCACCTGATTTAAGTTTACGATAATCTGCTGTCATTGTCCAAGATCCATCTGTTTTTTGCACAGGCCAAATAGGTGAATTAAATGGATATGTGGTGGGAATCACCACCCCTGTATCCTTCAAGTCCTTGGTGGCAGTAATCTCTGCAACCCCTCCAGGGATGTGGTACTGCTTTTGGTTTACTATTTTTGTAGGAAGAGGCAGTTCTAATGGCTTCCACTTGGCTTTTCCTACCATAATAGCCCTTACTCCAAATGTCAGGGAGCCAATGTGGGAATTCTGCCAATTGCTCAGTATATCTATTCCAATTATGCATTCTGGCACTGGGGAAATCACTACAGGATGGGTTCAGGGACCCACTGGACCTACTGTGAGACACACCTGAGCTAAGACTCCATCAATAACTTGACCTCCATATGCCCCTACTCTGACTGGTGGGCCACAATGACACTTTGGGTCTCCTGGAATTAGTGTCAGTTCAGAGCCAGGGTTCTGTAATCCCTGAAAAGTCTGATTATTTCCTTTTCCCCAGTGAACAGTCACTCTCGTAAAAGGCCTCAGATCCCTTTGGGGAAGGCTAAGAGAAAGACTGACATTATAGATTTTGGGCAATGTAGTAGGGTCCTTCCTCAAAGGGACCTGGCCTCCCCTTCATTCAAGTAGTTGTGGGTCTGTAAACTGACTCAAGTCTGGGAATTGATTGAGAGGTCATGACTCTGTATTCTGGTGATTAAATATAGGTTGCTCTTCATGTGACCTAGAATTCTTCTGTCTATACAGATCAAGTAAATATTTAGTAGGCTTGCCATGTATTTCACTACGAGGAACACCATGAGCAAGTAGCCAATGCCATAATTCCACACGAGTCAGACTATTCTGATTACTGTTCTGACTCTGCTGTCCATTATGGTAACCATGCCC